TAAAATGGGTTGATGGGGGAAGGTTGGGAGGTTTGTTTATGTTGTCTTGCTGCTGTCCTCTGCACACGTGATGGTAGAATTGCACTTACATCGACGATGAACTCACACAGGAGGCTTTCAATGGTGGCGCCACTGTCGAAGACACACTCTAGCTCTTGACCCCCTATGTGGTCCTTAAAATATGGTGCTACAACCCTTAGTAGTGCGCCAAAACACTGGTGGAGGTTGGGTGAGTACCACAACAGTGAGAGTGGTTGGGTTTGTGAGTAAACAGGGTTAAGACCGGCAATGGTGAGAGACACGTGGTGAGTGGGGGGTTTGGGGTCGGGGGTTTTGAACGGCGTAAGCCTCACTGAGAACAGCCACACTGCCGCAAATATATTCTAAGCTGGCTAGCTTAAAATACACCCATGAAATACCACAAGGATGAAAAAAGAGCACTCAGGATTGCTTGGAGCTTGAATCACAAGCGATGAAGACTACTCACGTGGCTTGCTTGAGTACTGGGGTACAACAACTGGGTTAGTTGCTAGCTGGCTTATCTTAACCCTTCACACAGAATAGCTTGATAACTTCACACGATGAGCACAGCAGGGGTGGAAGCTGGCTTGGCAGGCAAAGGAACTGGATGAAGTAGACTAGGCTCGACTGGGCTCCCTCACCACAGACTGGAAGCTGGCTTATTTTGCAAACTCGGGTCAACCCCTCGGTAGTGATGCAAATAAGCAGATAAACACTAATACGAAGAGACTGACCAGTGAATGGTGTAGAAGCTGGTAGGAGCTTGAGAGAGTAGCTGACTTGAGGTAGCTGGCTGGCGTTAACCTCGGTAGGCCTACTGTACGTCGTACATCGCCGATGTACGTCGTACATCGGCGTAATTATCAATTTTACGCCCACACTGCTGGCACCATTTATCGTAGGGGTTCTTAAATGGAGATATTGAGGGTTGAAGGTAGACACACTTGTTGGATGGTAACGATACATACAGCAGGGCCCCGCTTTACGGCGTTTCGCTTTACGGCGTTCCGCTAATACGGACATTTCAAATTATGACCAAAACTCGCTATACGGCTCCCCCCACCTGTCTTTCTAATACGGTCACAGCTGCCCACCGAGTTTGTTTACATTCTCCCTGAGCACATCTCCTTATTATGTCTGGAAACTTTCCAAAATTTCAAGTGTTTTAAAGTTATTGTATATTTTATATGTATTGTACTTGATAATTAAACTTGTGTACACCTGTACCTAAATAAACTTACACACTGTGCTGGCATGTAGGTACACATTAAAATCACTAAGTCTCTCTACTCTTCATGCAATAATAATAATAATTTAAAAATAATAATAATAATAATAATAATAATAAAAAATCTCTTTGGGGCATTAATGTTGCATATTACGTTAATATAGACATTTCCCTTAATCTATCTATGATATTTTTTCAAAATTATATAAGAAACATTATGTAAGACACAAACATGATACATGCAACCCACATATATAAAAAATTTTACAAATATATATGAGATGTTTACCAAACGGTTTTTAGAAGTGTCGGAAGGGAAATTTCGTTTTCTCTAGCCCGTCACCTGTTACTAGGGATAACTGTAGAAAAATATTCCTTTTTGTATTTCCTTCACTTTATAGCTATAATTCTGTACTAACTTGTACACAGTGAAGAGGGATTGTTTCGTGATTTTAATTATTATAATAATAATAAAAATATTATAAGGTAAAAGTTTAACAAACTCTTAAAACTGGACACGTATTAATACCGTCTATTTCGCCTGACCGAGTGATCGTCCACAACCTGTTCAGTTTTTTTTACGCTGTCTGAGCTCGGGTATCATTAAATGTTGTTTATTACGTTAATTATAACACATTTTCATTAATCCATCCGTGATATTTTTTCAAAATTATATAATAAACACGACACATAACATAAATACATAACATATGTGTAGAGAACCTAGGATAACCAAAAAAAGTCAGAGTGACTTACTTCCATTGCCTTCACTCAGAGCATCATTTCTTCTCAAAATGATGTTACATGAGAAGGGGAGTGTTCTTCTTTATTTATTCTACCCTATCAATGTAGAGACAACCTGTACACAATGTAACTTGTACACAAACCAGACGTGTACACTGTTTACAAACTTACCTTCGCCTGGTTTGTTTACATAACTCTGCGCCTGTCCTCTCTTTATTGCACTCATTCTTTCTCTCTGGTATGGTAGCCCGGCTGACTACCATACATACCACACTTGATTTTTTTACAATAAATACTACTCATCTCACCCTATATTTTAAGGTAAGTAATGAGGGGAACTGTATACCCCATTTTATCGCTCTGGGATGCTTAAATATCATAGAATAGTATGTGTGGGTGGGTTGGCCTGGTATGGTAGCCTGGCTGACTACCATACATACCACACTTGATTTTTACAATAAATACTACTCATCCTACCCTAATATTTTAAGGTAAGTAATGAGTGAACTGTATACACATTTTTTATTGCTCTGGGATGCTAAATATCATAGAATGTATGTGTGGGTGGGTTGGCCTGGTATATGGTAGCCTGGTGATCTACCATAATACACACTTGATTTCTTACAATAAACTACTTCTTTTGTCTCATCCCTGATTAAGACTATAATATATTTTTAAGGTAAGTAATGGTGCACTATGTGTGTATTTGTACATTTTTATTGTTTTTGGATGCTGGTTCTATTGTAACATAATATATTGATAGTGTAAACTTTGTTATCTAGTGTTTGTATGCATTTGTTTAGTGGAAAAAAATGGCTTGTTCCCTTTACGGCGGTTTCCGACATTACGGCGGTTAGCCTGGAACCTAACCCGCTTGTAGTGGGGCCATCCCCATGTATATTGTCAAGAGACTGTGATGATGAGGATGGAGCCCAGCCTCTGCTGTCTTAGCCTGTTCTAGGTCTATGCGCAGTCTGAGAGGAGGGCAGAGAGGTACAAACCGTACACATGCGCATCCCGTGACGTCACACAAAGTCACAGGCCTAAAAGGGATCTCCTATCTCAAGTCATGGATGTACTAATATGCTGTTACAAAACAGGGCTCTGCAAAAATCTATTGCTGACGGTGCAGTGTTGTTGGTGGAGGCAGTTGTTCTGCTGGTTGTTGCCCCCCCCACAGAGTGTTGCTGGTGGATTCTGTTTTGCTGGTGGTGCAGTGTTGTGGTGGTGCAGGGTTGTTGGTGGAGCAGTGTTGTTGGTGGAAGCAGTGTTGATGGTGTTGCAGTGTTGCTGGTGTTGAGTTGTTGATGGTGGTGCAGTGTTTGTGGTGGTTGCAGTGTTGCTGGTGGAGCAGTGTTGCTGGTGTTGCAGTGTTGCTGGTGTGCACGTGTTGTTGGAGGTGCTGTGTTGCTGGTGGAGCAGTGTTTGTCGGTGGGAGCAGAGTTGCTGGTGTTGCAGTTTGTTGTGGTGGTGCAGTTGTTGTTGGTGCGTGCAGTGTTGCTGGTGGTGCAGTGTTGTGGTGGGAGGCAGTGTTGAGTGTTGTTGGATGGAGCAGTGTTGTGGGCAGAGTTGTTGGTGGTGTCAGTGTTGTT